GAACTTTACTATATTGAAAATTTTCGATATAGTAAATTCTTCGATATAGTAAAGAAAAGTCCCTATCCCGTCAACTTGACTATATCGGAGTTTGACTGTAATACGTCATTGATTAGCCACTGATCAGCGTCAGCATATAATTAGATCTCGCAACACATCTCTTCTAAAAAAAAAATGGCGAACGTCGAACAAGAACTGGTGGACGCAAAACGATATTTGGCCGAGGTGGCGGAGAAGCTGCAGAGGCTGGAAAGCTTGAGGAAGGGGGCTGAAGAAGCATACGTGGACGAGAAAGCAATTCTAGAAAGACAGGAAACCAAACTGGAGGAGAGACGAGACAACTGGGAGGCGACAATCCAGGAGCTGCAACGGAAACTGCCGGCCCAGCCAGGTAACGACTTTGTGACTCGGGCGTTGGGGACATAGAGTTGTGTGTACATAGGGTAGAGTAGAATTGTATTAACGTTTCAGCAGCAACTTTTAACCTTTCCCTTTCTTTCTATCGATCAACTGCTCATTTCTATACAGTTCAAAGTGCCACATTCCCGGATCTCGCCAAGTTTTGGTATTCCATAGCAAAGTCATCTATCAGCAAACAAATTCTTTGTCTTCCGCAGGACATCTATTTTCTGGGTGAGTCACACTACTCACAAAAACTCATCATTCGACGAACATATAGAAATCTTCTAGCCGATATACAGTCATCTGTCAAATCTGGACTATACCGCCGATTTACCATTACAGGCACTCCTGGTATTGGCAAAAGTTACTTTATATTATATTTGTTATATGTTCTTCGTCTTAAAAATGCTACTGTTGTGATGAGACGGAACATTGACCAAGAATTCTTAGTCTTTGATGGGAATAATGCATATACGTAAGTTTTTCAGTTTCTATGTACCTTTTTTTGTTACAGAATGAGCTAATGAAACAGTCTCTCTTTAGAACAATTTCTTATGAAAAAGTCAGCTCCTTCCTGGTTAATCCTAATACCTGGTATCTTCTTGATACAGTATCACCTTCTGAGGTCCGTGCTATCACCATCCTTGTCTGTTCTCCAAATCCAAAAATTTACAAAGAATTTCGTAAAATGTCAAACTCAACAATAAGATATATGCCTCCTTGGAGTTGGGAAGAAATTGTAAAATGTAGAGATGCTCTTTATCCTGGTATTAATGATGACAAGTTGACAATACTTTATGATCGTTGGGGTGGCATTCCCAGATATATACTGGAGAAATGTGATGATCCATCACAAGATGCATTGTTAGAAAAGGCAATTGCAAGTGCTAACTTGGAAAAGTGCTTACAGAGTGTTGGTGAACGAGAAAGTCCAGAAGACATAAGCCATCGAATTCTTCACATCATTACTTCAGACTCTACAGGCTATACTTTGACAACTATGAAATATGCATCTCCCTATGTTGCTCAAGAAATTGCTACACGGTTTACTCTACAACAACATGAATCCCTTCGTCATTTTCTATTAGCCAGTGAAGGTTATGGTACAACAAGTTCACTTCGTGGACAGCTATTTGAAGGATATGTTCACAATATGTTAAAGAATGGAGGAAACTTTGATATTAGAAAAATTGATGAGGATACAGTTTCTAGCATCTTTTTGGCAAGTAGGACTCAACGACCTTACAGAACTCTTTCCAAGGTTGACCCCCAAATTGATGACTACTGGCGACCAATAGCAGGAAATTTTCCAACATTTGATTCCTTAATACCCACAGTTGGATTATTTCAAATTACAATATCTTTACATCATGGTGCAAAGATGGCTGCACTTGAAGAATGGAAAAAGATTGTTGGCCATAGGAATTTTGTGTTGTATTTTGTTGTTCCTGAATCAATATTTGAAAAATTCAGTAAACAGAGTTACTATACAGTAGATGGGAAAACTGCTCGGCATGTTTCTCAATGGATGCGAGAACTACCACAGTATGTTATGAAAATTAAGATATAGGATTTGTAATTGAGTTCTCACTCTGTTTCAATAAAAGTTTCTATGAAACTGTTGCCATCTTTGTTTGTATCATAAATCAAATGTTCACTGATTTTTGCTTGGTTTATTGGCTTTCCATATTGCAAGTCTTGTAATAGTAATTTGTTTGTGCTTAGATTAACATTGAGCACTGGAGAATTCTAATCTTGGAACTTGATGCTTGGACAAATACCAGAATAAAACTTTGTAAAGAACTATGACAACCAAACTCGATTTATTCTGAACTTAAATATCAACAGAACCACAGTAAAAATAGTTTAAATCTCATACCAACTAATTGATGCTTCGACTTATGAATTACTATCATGAAAATGATAAAATAGATATATAGGATTACCCATATATGAATAATAATAATTACAACGGTTCTATTGAATACGAAAAAGCAATGCATTTCTTGGAAATAGGTTGCATTTGTGGTTGTTCGAAAATAATTCTGAGAGAAAAGTTTGCCGAATTACGTGAAGCGTTTCAAGCTCTCTCTAATTCCGAACAAGATATATTTTTAATGGCCCAACTGAAAGCGATGAATGGTGGAGAAACAACTGCCAGCCGTCGTCTTAAAAAGAAAACGCGTACTAATAAGCGAACGTTTTACTATTGAGATCACAATACACCTCTGTGTCAGAAAACATATCTCAATATGTTAGGAATTGGCCGCACACGCTTCGAAAACGTCAGAAATCATCTAGCGACGAATGGTATAATACCGCGTGTTCATGGTAATATCAAACGAGTGCCGCGATGAAAGACCAAAATAACCATTGATATAACTGTTGCTACAGCCGTGAAGAATTTTCTCGAGAATTACGCTGAAATACATGGATTACCAAGTCCTGGTAGAAATGTCAATCGCATTACTCAATCGCTTACACTTTTGCCAGCTGAAACGAGCTACAAATCAGTCTATCGTGATTTTATTGCCGGTCTCGAAAACGATAGCACGTTGAAATTGTTAAAATATGACGCATTTCGCAAGTTATGACATCAATTAACGCCTTATATTCAAATTATGAGTCCAAGAACGGATTTATGCGACACATGCCAACATCTTCGGAACGGCTTACAATACAATGCTCGCAAGGAAGAAGAAGCAAAAGATTTATTGAAAAAATTCAAAGAACACCTAGTTAAAGCTAAATTGGAGAGAAATTATTACAACAAAAATACAAAGTTGGCAGAACAACAGAGAAAATTGGTAAACGAGCATTTTAGAACAAGAGATAAAACTGATTACTGCAGCATGGACGCGACTGCGCATTACAGTTACGATTGAGCGCAAAACGTTCACGTACCCCATTCCGATCAACAAGTAAGATTTATTATCTCAGTCCGCGTAAAAGTGCATTTATTTGGTATCCAAGATGAAGCAGTACGCGAACAAATTAATTATGTTCTCGATGAAGGCGAAATTATCGGTAAAGGCCCTAATGGCACGTTAAGCATGGTATTCGATGGAATTAAGTGATTGAATAAAGGCGAAAAATATCTAAAGATTACTTGTGACAATGCGGGTGGTCAAAATAAAATAATGCCACTAATTGATTTTATCTGTATTTAGTTATTTGCGGTTATTATGAAAGTATCGAATTAAATTTTATGGTCCAGGACATACTAAAACTAGGCACTTCCACCCAGATGGTGAGTAACAACTGAATTTGCGGTTTAAATTTGCAGTCTGCCTCAAATATTATACCTCAAGAAGGAAAGATCATTTATATCCGCTAACTTTTTTTCTTGGTTTTTCCTTATCACGCTTGTGGCAAGATTTCTGATCTATTCTCTGATAGGCTTATGACATGCCGATATTAGATATGTTGCGACACATGAGCTTTCTTTGACTGACGAATTAATGCTATTATATGGAGCAATCGTAGAAAGTATATTCTATTAAAAATTAGTGGTTAGAAAAACGAAGGTTAAGTCAGATCTCGCTTTTAGCTAATTTGTGTCCGTATTTTTCTCAATATGATACGTTATACGTTCTTCGTCATTATTATCTTAATAATCAATCTCTCCACATAAGAATTACATGAGAATGTTTATCATGATAGATGGTTCATCAACTATTTGGTTACGTACAATTGTATGAATTGCGTCGTCTACATTACTAATGATATTAGATGGAATTGGTAGCAGCGCGTTTTAGACACGAGTGAGAATGAGCTAAAGAAACTGAAACGTTCATTTTTTTTTTCAATTTGCGCGAGCTCAACTAAACTAACCAATTATTTGGCTTTCTCGGTGGTTCGTCAGATACAAACTTCGTAATGCAAGCTGAAGTTCAGGGAAGTGAAGCCACTAGCGATAGTATTATCGTTTAGATTGTTAGAAATTTTTTGATCTTATTAACTTCTTTTTTTTCTTTTGCTAAATTATATATTTAAGCTTAATTCACGAATCGTTATCGTCATAGTTATCACAGGCACGTGGACGTTTGTCAAAGTCAGTCAATTATATTAATAATTTTCCACATCTGGTAATTTACAACTTGTTATCTACTAACATAAATTCCCAATGTCTGAATCGCGACAACGAATATAATTGTTTTTTTGTGGCTGTTACCACACAAAGTGAAGACAAATCCTCACTTCTTCTAACTTCATTGCCTGATTAACATGAAATTCTCCGAAGAAAGAAGCTGAAAAATGGTGATAGTAATTTCAAGCCTGTTCTAACCTATTGCATAGAAGCCGCGCAAACATTACGCCCTCTTCTATACTTGTTGTGAGAGCATGAAGCTTCCTCTGTATATTTTCCTTACGTCGATTGTCCGCCTCTTCATCGTGGCTACCATCGTCAGTACTAGATTCTTGCAGACAACTGTTATGCCTGACATTAACCCACTTGTAATGTTTCAATTTGACATTGAGATTTTGAGATACTTGGCCGGTTGCGGCAGAGTACAAGGTTCGGTAGAGTAATAGGCGGTAGGTGTCAGTGCTGCGGATGAGAATGATGGATGTAAAATTAAGTCATCTGACATTATTTAAAATACAATACACGTTCTGTACTTACCAAAACTTTTGCTTGGTTAGAACTTCGTCAATTCTAGTAACAGCCAGTTTACCCTTGAAATCCTCTACAGAGAATGTCATTCGTCTCTGTCCCTTGTCATTACTGGATGCATGTGACTCTCTATTTTTGCTTTGTTGAACCTCTTTTATAATGTTATCGATTTTTTCACTAATCGGAACGCGCTTTTGAGTTTTCACCGTAAAACGAATATCAGGAGCACCGGTCGTCGAGACAATATCAAGGAGAATAACACGCCGGAGTGAGCGAGCGAGTTTAGTTGGTTTCCAGCAAGCTAGATTTTTTGATTTGAGATTTGTGTTCAGAAAAGCAAGATGATAAATGAAGCGATAATCGATCAAGAGTTATGACATACCTTCTTTATCGTCGTACTTTAGTTTGGCTTTCCAACCGTCCCCTTCATATTGGAAATAGAGAGTGACACTTAGACTGTTTTCGTTTTCGTCGTGTCCGTGTCTCCCTATTACATTACTCCTCATAAACCCCAAGTCCATTCTTTCGATTTTTTCATACCCTTCAAACAAGTCACAACTATGCTGGTAACTACTTCTCATGCCCTCATTCCCATCTCTCTTGACGGAATGCCAATCCTCATAAGTAAAGAAATCTCCTTGACATTCGTTTGGTATATTGAAAAAAAGCTCTTTCCCAAAATAGGCCGCTATATGGATTTTTTGATCTCGTTCAGAAGTAGGATATATCGTTGAAATATGAGAATTGATCATAGAGAGCACTTGCGGAAGATGTTTGGTTGTCGCGAACGGATTTGTACGGCTCGGAATCGGTAAGGTTTGGCGGGGATCAAGTTGTATTGAAAAATGACGAGAGGATGAAGAAGAAGATGCTGAAGAAGATGTTGACGAAGACATTGACGAAGATGTTGACGAAGATGTTGATGAAGATCTTGATGAAGAGGAAGAATGTGTACTTTCGCGGGACCTTATTTTCTGCTTTTCTATATTGCCGACGTCCATTTTTAACTCATACAAGGGCAGGCCACGCGAATGCGTGTTCATGTCTGTCCCAGTGTATCGGTTGAACCAAAGTCTATCATTATCATCGTTCGATGATTCAATTAAGGTAATCCCTAGCTCCGGATACAGGTGACGTCTAGGCTGCGAAAATATATTTTGTAATTCACATTGAGCTGACGTTCCTTGTGTAGTCGTCCCTTGGATTGTCAGCTCAGTATGGGCAGGGTTAATTGTAATTATGGTACCCGTATCATTTCTGGAGTGGGAGAATAGAGAAAGACAAGAAGGTTAGATAATAGACAATACACGAACGAAGATGGGCAAACAATGTCTTTGAATAAACTATTCCCATGGGGACATCAAAATTAATTACTCGATTTTTCGCAAGCGAGATTCGTTATCTCCAGTTATCAAACTAATTTTGTCTTTCGGAATTTTAAATATGGTTGTGGATAGCATAATAATAACGGAAGTAAAGATGAAAAAATTGTAGGGCAATCTCCAGACCAACCGATTATTACAGTATTATGAATGTAACCTCATTTTTATCCACTCAACGATGCGTGTAGCATGCATTATACCAAATAAAGCAAATTTATGACTGCCGCAAATATATATATAGCATTGCGTGTTACATTGATAAGTTAAGATCATACAATAAATTGCCCCAAAAAATTTTAATTTTTCATTTTAGACGAATCAGTGCACTACGTTTCATAGTATGCACTCCCTGACGAAAAGTCTACTTACTAATCAATCATTAAACATATGGACATCTATTTTCTCGAAAGTCTATATGGCCTTACCTATTAATTTGCGGAAGGGACGATGTACAGTATATTAATATGTTAATCAAAGCAGTAAAAAATTATCTCTACGAAAGGTACAAGTTACCTATGAAGATATTTTCGACATGCCATCAATCGGGGAACTACGGGGCCAGTACCATGTCCCTGCAGTGACGTCACCATGAATGATATATCAATAAGAATTGTTCTTTAAAAGGAATAAGAAGCCAGGGTAAAAGAGGAATGCTGAATCAACGATGACTAGACGGATTCTATAACTTCTATTAAATACGTTAATACTAATATAAAAACACATACATTACAAACCCGCGCCCAGAATTTGTCTGTTTGCATCGTGCCTGTCCCGAATGAATGTAAGTAAATCTTTCCGTATGGTCTACTATTTCCATCAAACAACGCTATAAAATTAATATAACGAATGTGATATAATGTCTTAGGTCGCTGGATCGGAATATGCGATCCGTCTACAGCGCCAATTACATTTGGAAGTCGATTAGTATATTCTGGAGGAGAAAAACCTTCAACTATATCTTGGAGCATGTCACCTGCAGGCCACCGAATAATTCTTTTAAGCATATCAAGAACAGACGTTGAATAAAATTTTGGACTGAGCCTTGGCTAATGCAAAACGTGGTTTCTAATTGGCGATAACCCATCAGATTTGCTAGCCGTTGCAGAACAATTCCACTTGAATTTCGATATGTGGTTAAGTTTGGAAATTAGATGATTGATAAACGGAATGTTGAGAACGTATTTCTAATAATCTATTAAACGTAAATAGTTCGATGCGAAAATGAGCTCTAAAATTATTGTGCTCATTCTCGTCATTAAGGTAAGGAAAACCGTCAACCCAAAAACCATGTGTCTTTGGACGTGCAACCCGTCCAACTCGCGATTATTAATGAGTACAAGGGCATCCGTTTCTAATAGTAGTGTATATTCAGTAATTGCAGTAATTGCGCAATAATGACAGATTTTTGTTTTCGAGTAAGTGGCATGTTTCAATTAATAAAAATTTGACGAACGATATCGACATCGGCACTTTTTGTAAGTTTTTAATTATAAATAAATTAGATACGCGTATTTTCGCGGATAATTGATTTTCACATAATAATAATATTGATTTTCAAAAATGGAAATGGTCAAATCTAACTGTTGAGAGGTCAATTTTCCACTTTCCATTTCAGGAAGGGGAGATGAGCTGTTGAGAGCGACCTGAAAATATCAGAAACCATTTAATTAACAATGTAAATGGTTTAATTTCGAGAGTTCATGGCAATATCAAAAAAATGCCTCAATGAAACACTAAAATGATAATTGATCAAAATATTGCCACTGCTGTGAAAAATTATCTTGAAAATTATGCTGAAATTTATGGTTTACCAAGTCCAGGAAGAAGTATTAATAGAATAACTCAATCAGTTATCTATTTTAATTTGCCAGCAGAAACAACTTACAGATCTGTTTATCACTTAAATTTCCATTCCTAGAAAAGGTTATAACTTGTTGGGTGGATCAGACGATAGGGCATAATTCTTACTGAACTTCTTATTAAGGAGAACGCAGCACAATGAATTGCATATTCCTCCTCTACAGTCACAGGTTTCAGGAGAACCGACTGTAGAGGGTGACGACTGTATTGAACTATTAGTTACTGTATTGGCATCTGTAGGTTGTGCCCAACTGTCTATTATTATTATTATTATAAACTGTTTATGCTAATTCATTTGGTGTTTGTTTGTGTGTGTGTGGTGTTGTATGATGAGGTTTCAACATCATCTTTCGAGATTTGGCTTCTTTAAGATTACTGGTAATATACCACTTATCCAGCGTAGGAAAATTTGCTAGTAGCAAAGAGGTGGAGGAAACATTTAAATATTTGATGGCGTCGCTCGATTTGTCTTTATTGTATTAACAATTCGTCCGACTTATTATTATGGTTTATTTTAGAACATTATCATCATACGCGTCAATCCCAGATGTAGAACCTAAATCTGGGATTTCAATTTCAAATGATTTTCAATTTACCAAACGCTATTTCTATGAAATATTGAGGTGAAAATTGTTTTCTTGCCGAGTATTTATTGAGCAGTCTGTAGCGTATCCGAAGTTACTAGCGTCAATGTTGGTTTAATTTAATTTTAATTAATGTTAAAAATAAAAATTATCTTTTACCAACGTATAAACGTGTTATTGATCTGTTACCAAGTATAATAACCAGAAGCTTTACGAGGGTTATAAAAGAAATGAAAACTTCATCAATCCATTATCCCAGAAATGCCAGCTAAATTTCAATAATTATTATTGTTTTCTATTTGTCGTCTATATCAATACAGGCGCCATAATTTAAGCGGATTATTGATTATTCATGTAATAATAATAAGAATAATAATAAAATAAACATTGTCTGAGAATCTATTAATAATATGTCCAATCTCGCTTCTATGTTCGTTCAACTTCAATTTCTATCCATAAATTTTTGTATTCCCCAATTCACCAAGAACTCCATTCATCATCGTTCCAAACGTCTTTCTTTTCTCTCTTCCTCGTAGTGGCGGTGGCGGTTCCTGAACCTTCAACCTTCGGCGACGCAGATCCCAATGTATTGTTCTTTGACAATAGGGTAGAACTTCTACTGGGTGCCGGAGAGTTTCTTTGCTGATAATGGTTCATTGTTTCAGTAAAAAAGTCACCATCGGCGCTAGGAGACGTAGGAAGTGAGGAATAAATGGATTGTGAAGGTTGCGTGGAGGACGAGCTGGTATTGGAAAGAGTCGAGGATAGAGACGAGATCGAACGGGTTGCGGTTTCGGTTACCTTGTTGGAGTGATAGGACAAAGTTAGCGAATATGGCGGATACATGATGTAGAATAATCTTAACAGTCAACCCCTTCCTCCCGCTTAAAAATTCGTTTCATACCGTCTTTCCAAAGCCAGCCATATATCCGGCCACACTCTTCGATACTTCACCCTCCCTGACCTTATCCGCCGTGGGTTTAATGACCTTTTCATTCACTGTATATCCCAACGTCTCGGCACTTTGTGCAGCAATCTTTGCACCTTCCACAACTTGTTGACTTATGAAACTAAACCCTTTTGACAAAACGCCCATAGGATCATTTACGAATTCATTCAAATCAGGAGCCGATGTGGAAGCAGACGCTGAATAGCTGAAAGCAGGGTTTCCAAATCCCGTATATTTCCCGCCTTGATTAGGCGGAACGGCCTCGGATCGAGACGAATTCAGGGCTCCAAGGGAAGAAAAGTAGGCTTCATTTTGAACTTTTTGAGAAGATGAGGATAGTGGGAGAGAAGAATCGCTTTTAAAACCATTGAGGTTCGATGCATGGAAAGAATTCGAATGACCTGCCGTAGGTCGTAGGGATTTATTTGACGTGTTTGTGCGCGTTGATTGGCGGGTTGTTGTGGACGACGGTGACCAGCTCCGACCTTCACATTTTGCTGCTAGCTTTGTTACAGAATTAAAGGTTTATTGGTAAATGCGTAAATTAAATCGATTGAAATAGAAAAAAGGTGTAGCATTGTAAACAAGATAATAAAGGAGAGACGTGTGCGTTTGTATGTTGAGATGATTATAAATTACCTTTTCTCGATATTCAGTTGCAAATGCACTGTGGTATTTATCCTTTAAAGACATATCGGGAGAGTACTCTGAATGCGATTCGTAAAATTGTTTCCATTCTGCATTGCCTCCCAACTGCAAAGGAATTAGACATACACGTAAGTATGCATGACGATGCGAGTGTTATGGATAATTATAACTCGAAATTAGCCCTTACTTGCATCTTCTTTATTTGATCATCATACCACTTATCCATCGTGATTGAGCGGACAAAACTAGACGATCCCCCAAAACGCTCGAGTCAGTAAAAAGCGAAATTATAAAGATATCAAGTACGCAAGCTATTAACCGTTAAACACTTAAAATCAACGTTTGAGAGCAGTTTACTGAAATCTTTACTATTGTATTCCGTTCGTCTGTCCATTCTTTGACGATTTTCTTATCCAACGGTTATACATACGTTACCTGATGTGTACTCCGAATGAGCGATGTACACCCGAACACTCAAGACATATGAAAATACCAAAAGAGACGGATGCCCACTGAGGATTTGGTGCACCGCAGTCTACGCATTGCTGTATTTACAAGTAGTCCACAAAAAAAATTAGAGATTTCAATTGTGAATTGAAAGGAAAGAAATGACACTTATTATTAACATTATTATTGCCAGTTGTCAAGTAAGTAGTAATAAGGCAGAGAGAGTAACATAAGAACACTGTTGTGTAAAATGAGATTCTTACTTTATTTTCACCCTGTCGCTGTATATCGTATAGTATTTTCTTGTATTCGGCTGCCATCGCTTTAAATGCAGGTTAAAAAGGGTTCCGATACTATTAATACGACAATTTTTATTTTCGAGGAAATTGTCCGTGTTCATCTATGATTGGGTTGTGCTATGAATTAAAGGTGGACAAATATGGAAAACTGTCAAGCAAAAATATGTCGTAAAAAGCTTGTGCATGTGTTTTATTGTACATTTAAATGTCATCATTTCTTGTTTCTATACATCATTTAAATCACGTGTTATGAATTATAATTGCTCAACTGCGCACGACTCTATCTCTAACATAGTTGTTCTAACCCATTCTTAAAATCTAAAATAGACCAAGGATATCGTCATTACTCATTCCATTCCCTCGTGTCCCATTCTGTCCCTGTGTCGTATTGATACCAGCGCCATTACTACTGCTGTTGACAGATGTTCCACTGAACAAATCCAACAAATCGTCAATAGGTCCAGCTGAAGTCGCCGTCGTACTAGAGACACTAGGTGATGCAGTAGAAGCTGGAATGGCAGAAGATGATGTGGGCGTGGCCGGACTGGAAAAATCAATATCTAAAAGATTTTCAACGTTGGTTTGCGTCTGTATCTGTAATGGGGTTTCCCTTATCGATTCTTCTTGTTCCCTGTATTAGAAAAAGCGTAGACCGTTAGAACTTTCTTAGAAGCTAGTCAAGGCTTCTCCAGAAAAGTCACTTACTCTATGGCTTTTCGCTGGATGGCATCGGCACCAAACCTTCCGCGTCCAAGGAACGTCTCGGGAGGTTTATGGTATACGCTTGCTAGCGAACCAATATCATTGAGTAGCTGTTCCAAAAGCGACTCTGACAGCGTACTGTTTGATATCGATATTACTGGTTTTTCGGACAAGACTACCGTCTACGGGAAGAGATCGGTAAGGTTAATGTGAGTCAGTGTGCAAGCATGTATTTTCCGCAGCAATATGCTCGCATACCTTGGCAGCTTGTGGATCGGTCGATAACAACCTCCAATAAATATACGCCCTGTCTCTCAAATCCGGATTATCGCACTCTTGCGCTGCAACTTTTAAAACCCTATACACGATTCCTTCGTTCTCCTTTGTCGGCTTTTTCAAAAACAATTTTACACATGATGTTACTAGTTGCAACTGTACTTGCAAGTTTTCGTCCCGGAACGTATCGAGGAAGCTCAAGATAAGTTCCGATGCATTAGAGATGCTTTCGGCGTATTCACCAATAATCCAGATTAGAGATGCTTTCGCTTCAGGTTCGTCGAGTACCTCGAGGTTTTTACAAAGTGTTGGTAGAATCGTGGTGTATTTGTGTGGGTATTTACGGAATATGTCCTGTTCGAAAAGAAGAAGAAAAACAAGCGTTCCAAGATGGCGTTACGAATCGAGCTATCAGCTGAGCATTATGTGAGAATGCGACATGTATAAAAAGCAAGTACGTCCGGGAGATTGTCCCAAACAAGATTTACCTTTATCACAATGATAGCCTCTTGGACAACGTAATTGATTTTTGTATTAATGAGATCAAGCAATACGTTGATGCATCTTTCCGAAGCCTCGTCGATTTTGACAGCACACTGTCCAATAGCACGAACAGACTTTCTCACAAAATCAACGTCTACTTCCGATGCATATCTATGATGAACGTTATCCAACGGTAGGAAATTGTGAGATCTACTATAGCTCCCGTTCTTTTCGCACGATTCTATTTGTTCGAAACCAATACATTTCACTTACTCTTTCAATTCTGAAAGCAACTGATCCACGTTCTTGCTGTTTGCAAGTTTTATCAAAATATCCAACTTTTCCAATTTCACATACGGCGGATCGTTGTATTTACAGAAAAACACTCGCATCTCGTTTTGTAGAATGTCTTTGCGTTTCTGCAAAATCAAATTAATATTGCGTAATGCTACATATTGGACTTCCGGTGCTGAAGCAAGAAGTGTTACGAGCGGTGGGGCCATGCGTTTGACCAGAGATTTTTCGAGTTCTTCATTTCTAATGTGGCGCATTAAAATCACTACGACCTTCATTTTTAAAACCAAAAGTGCATGCATGAGAATGCGAGCAGGCAAGGACGTTTCATTGACAAAAAGACGTCTGTGACAGCAGCTCTCTATTCTCGCTCATATCTATTTAAAATATCACCAACAATTCCTTTAATCATCTATCCAGAACGTACCTTAATAGCAGCCAAGACCACGCTTCCGTTGGCATGTTGAAATTGTGGACTAACCCTCTCGATAATATGCTCAGCTTCCTTTGAATCGATTGGTTTATACTCTGCTAATGCCTCGAGTATTGCTATACGTCCCCATCTATAGAAAAAAAACTGTGTTAATTTCAATAAATATGGTAAAAGATAACATGTGACTAACGAACATTGACTATGAAAAATAAAAGTAAAACGAATTGGGGATGTTTACTCTGTACACTCGTTCAATGCAATAAGGAGTTTGCTAAGTGATGATCCATTAATTACAAAAATCCTATTGTCAGGAGAGGCTTCGTCGATTTCCGTTAGCGCCGTTACCGCATTGGCAACAACCTTGTGAGATAAAAAAAACAAAAATTTAGTTATGATATGTAATATAACTTATGTATTGCCTTTTGATCATTTAATCAGATGGCCTGTTGTGTTATCTACCATTGAATTCGAGTCGGACATCATTTCTTGTAGCAAGGCAACAAATCCATTCTCGACAGCTAGCTCGGGATTAAGGTCGTACAACTTTGCTACACATATGGCGGCAGTTTTCCTCACATAGGGATTCTCATCCTAAAAAGAGGAAAATGGAGAAAAAGATGAGGTGGAAGGGAGAAATAAAAAAAACCCAAGGTATGGCTGATGACACACAATTGAGCAATCCAGCATAGTTATGGCATACAATTATCTTGTGTTGTATGGCTTACACTATACTGATCCTCTCTGTACGTATTAATATATTCTTCTCACCCTCATACACTTTCTCAATGGCTCACAAAGGTAGTCAACAACTTGTTCCACACGAAGACAGCCCATAGTGCGAATGGCCAATGCACGGATCAATGGATTACTGTCATCAGTATCCTATGACATATAAACCATTATTAGATTTAATATGTTGATTTGGTAAATATAAAAATTTAATAATCTTGTTTGTCCCGCTCTCTCTTTTCTTGTTTTCCCTTCTCCGCTTCACACCCAAACTCACTCTTCTCTATTAGCATATAATGTTTCCTCGCATTACATCCTCCCAATTTCTTTGCATACCTTGACAAACGTATTGACGGCCAATATCACCAAATTCGGTTGCGACTTTGCATAATTCATTAAATATAAATAGACCAACTTTTTCTGTTCAAGATCTTCTGTCTGCATATTTTTTAAAACGTCAGAGAACAGTCCCGAGACGTCCTTTCCAACCGTCATGTTAGCAATGACTTTCTTTATGGCATCTTTTCGTTTGTCGCGATACTCACTGTTGAGATCGGCTTGAAGCTCATAGTTCTCGCCTGAACAGTGACGTATAGACAAGAGACCAGGAGGCAAATAAAAGGTTTTTAGTAACGTTTGAGACACATTATTAAAGAGATGTGAAAGTTGTGGGCAGTTGATGAACAATTATGAAGTGTTAATTGATAAAGGGCCAATTTGAATCAAATAAATAACTTTAGCCGACAAATAACCGTAAAATATAAACCAATTTAAACGATTGAGCGAGACTGAATTGCATACCTTTCCTAGCAGTGGTAAAGAACCTTGGCCTAGGCACTTTGAAATCTGTCATGTTATCGTTGTGTGTTGCAATATGCAACCCGTGGAATCGTATTGATGTCATTTGTGAAAAATCAGTTGAATCGAATAAATTTTTTGGTGATTTTTGAGATGTTGCCCAAACAGGCAGGTTTGAGAACGCCTAACGGGCAGGTAAAAAAAGGAACTTGTACCAAAATAAGTTATTTTCTAAAGACGCCGGTTTTTTAACACTTTTTGCTGTACGCTAGTTTACGTTCTGTGACAGGTAATGTCTTTTGTGACAAGACACAACATTAATGTCATATTATTAAACCGCAGACTCTTTTTTTTCAGTGTCGTTTCTACTTGATGGATAGTTAAAGGAAAAAAAGAAAGAGACACTTGAAGCAAAAAAGATAATGGTTTTTCCCAATTTACGTCGTATATTTTCATCCTTCCGAACACCGGAAGAAGAACGTCAAATATCTCGCGAAGCATTTTTTAAGTTTGTTGGATTTGTGGTGTCATGTATCGCCATCACTATGTTGTCGAATAAAAATAGAATGCGGGCGATTGGGCAAGGTGGGGGTTAATGGAGGCCATAAGAGATTCAAAGGTACCTGATGGGATACTTTAACGAAACTTGCATAGCATTTGCTCTATCTATTGTTTAACGAGAATATTTACAAACCGTGCAGGTTATTCTTGATTTGGCGAGTAATCATTTGAGCAGAACCCTAATTTTAATTAATACTACCTGCTTGCAAATAATTATGTATTCATATTGTTCGCGACACCTGAGCAATGATGTCGACGCTTTAATTTTAAAGAATGCACAATTATGCCGTAAAAATGCGATATTAATATCGTTAAACTTTATACAAATTACATTTTCCACGCCAGTACGTGTATAAACGTTGGGTTTTGTCCATGATTAACCTTGACGACATCCTTTCAATCGATTACAACTGTCTTTTGATACGCTCACCTATTCGCTCGCTGAACTATCAGAATCATTCTTATCATCGTCTTCACTACTTTCATAATTATCATTATTCTCATCACTCTCATAATTATCATTATTCTCTTCGCTCACATCACCTTGATCACCTTCATCAACCTCGCCTTCACCCTCATCTTCACCGTCATTCTCTATCACTCGTTTTCTCTTCAATGATCTCCCCACCGTCACAACCTCACCAGTGTCCTTATCTCCACTGCTTTTCTGTTTTGCCGAACTAAACAATCCTCTCGAAGCGCGTGTTCGTCTCCCCTGTTTCTCATCGTCATTAATAATATTCGTCACATCCATTGAATTTAGCTCCGCCTGGAGTTCACGCGTCCTTCGCACCTGGAGACACTTTTCGGCAGTGGGACGACCTTTCACGCCAAGTTCGTTTAATATAGATTTGAGGCGGGTGATTTGTTGTTTCTTTGATAAATCTTTGAGTTCGCGTGACCTTGAGAAAACGAAATGTCAAGAGCGCACATGGCAAAGTGGCGATGAAATGATTCGATGTTGCATGTTAATATCAGGGACTTACCATACTTTACGCACGCCACATTTCAAAACATAGCTCTTTAAATTTTTAATCGCCGTATCATCTTTGCCATCCTTGTTTATCGAGAATGTTGGAAAAAAAGATTAATTGCTCATGATTGCCAACTTTCAACAATAACCAACATCCTTTACCCTCCGTTTACCTCATGTGTAACTTTTTCTTTACCACTTTGCGTATTTTTCCTCCGCTTACGAGGTGCTGGTTTGTCATCTATCACGCTCGAAAGATCAGATTCTGAAAGGTTGTTATCTGAATTATCTGAATGCGTCGCGGTAGAAAGACGTTTTGATTTCGTAGATGTTGACTATGTCGCATAAGAAACGGGGGAAGAGGAGAAAACAATTGGCAAGGAACGTGCTTAGTATGTGAAAGCAACAGGGAAGGGAATTCATAGTCGACAAAGATTGATTGATGAATTACAGCATATTTATGTTTATCAGTTACAGATAATCTACCTCTTCGGCATCAAAATCCTGATCTTCTTCCTCTAATGAATCATCATCGTCACTGCTCTTGCTCTTTCTCTTCTTTTGTGACTGTCTCTTTTTCTTTTTACCGTTCCTACTCTTTCCCCATCCGGGTGGTGTGTCCATTATCACTGATGACAGATCATCGTCGTCTAACAAATTCATAGCCATATCTTTGTGTTGTTTTGTCTGGGTTTATCGAGGACGAGTACAAGTTTGGATTTTCGCGCAGGTCACGAACGCATACTGATTGACACCCCAAATGGTTGGTAAGTGTAACGTCAGATATCAGCCCAATCACCAAAAGGTTAAATTCCCTTGTTCATAGTAATAGAGTTTGTTTTTAGAGTCGCTGGGGATAAGTAGACTGACTGCCTTGAGTTTCTTTGCCCTGCACAATGCAGCACACGAACTGTGTCACCGATGAAAGAACTTAGATTCAAATTGACAATTTAGAATACTACTATATCGATATATGTCATATCCAATATAGTGAACAAGGGAGCATTATTTCTTTAATCATCACCCAACAAGTGTATTAGCGTAACCATTAAAGCACATCTGTGTCAACACTATCATATGTGTGTATCTTTTCTTACAAAGACAACTTGTTTAGAAATAAAGAAACGACGTATATTTGCACTTTCTCGATGATACAAGTATAATGAAAAAGCCCAAGACGTGAACACGTTTAAAGTGCAAATGTTATATCTCTATTATTCAGGGTTGACATCATTACAACGATTAACTTGGACACTCTCCGTCCATACAAAACGTGTTGGGCGACATGTCAATCAGCTTGGATATCCACCAATAATCGTACCAGCATCCCAACCTTGAACGTTATATATGGTTTCCAACATTAATATTGGTGGAAATGGCTCAAATAAAGTTTATCCAATTGTTCTAATGGGACGCACCAATCATTTCCAGGTATATTTGAAAGGGCCAAAACATTTAACGGTGCGTGCCACCTAATATCCAATTGTAACACTCTATATACACCCCCCCCCCCCTTCAACGCACGTATACGTAACGGACATCTTCTCATGCAACGCTTCTCCTTCTCGAGTTCGATGTAATGTCCTATTTCACTTTTCTTGAAAAGACCATTTGCAATTGATTTTTCCTAGTCGTTTCTAGCAACATTTGTTCTTTTTATACGCTTCGAAATACGACGGGATGGAGATGAAGAAACCTGAATCTTGTCTTCGGCAGCATCCGTTTGAACAGAACGTGAATCAGGGGCAGGCTGAACGTCCCTTTGTGTTTGTCGTCTCCTGAGATTGCGTAAGCCCCTAACGTTCTTTTCTTCGGTATGTTCTGCATCGTTCTTAGTCATTTATGATATCATCATATTATTATTCATATTCTCATCATCGATCGAGATCATACAGGATTCGTTTTACAGCTGGTTTACCTCATCAGTCTCCATTCCCTTTCGCTTTCCAATCTCATTCTCGTTGTCATTTCCGATTCCAATTTCTATTCTGCTTCCCACTTCCGCGTTATCAGAGATAACATCTTTGGCTTGTTTGGCCGTTCCTTCACACTCGGCTCTTGTTTCTCGTGTTTCGTCCGCGGATGTTTTCTCAGTGGATGAGGATGATGTAAGATTCTGTGGCGGAGAGGACGGGTATTGCTGAATGTCGCAAAAGAGAAAGGAAGTAGGGATTAGAATCGGTGCGCTTCATTCCATCATTTTCGAACACCGTCCAGTTTTTTAGGGAAACATTGCAAGAAACATACCAATTCTTCTTCGATAACTTTCAACACCAATTCCTTCCACGGTTCCCTGTCTAACATCATATAGGGCCAGCTGAGCCGTTGTTCCAGTTCGCGTCTTATTTTCTTTTGAGATATGATGCTATGGAAGAGAAGTACATAATGTATGGTATATTGAATGCGTTACTGCATTCGTTCAAATTGTTTATGTTGCGCTCTATTACACTTACGTCAAGTCAGACTCTCGTATCAAGGTTTTGCATAAAGCTGTCAAAGTTTCCTCGTTTCCTATCATTTCTCACACGGTGCTCTTTCGCCGTTGCGGTATTGTGCTTTATCACGTAATAGTAGTAACGAGTTATCTATTGCGAAGCGGTTGATACGATAGGGTTTTGGCATTTGTTGAGAGAAGGGGGGGAAATGCGGATCCGAATCCAGGATTGCTGAAAGAAAAAGATAATGCAGAACTTACAATGGAAACAGGGTCATTGTGTGATTTGCATGTAGTTGAATGGTTCGTGTTTAATCCAAGGGAAATTTTAAATACACTCATTTATCAACCAATCAATAATGAACAAATACACAAAGTGAACTTTCACTATTTCAGGGGTTAATTGTCAAGCCACAACAGTGAATCGCTAATAGTAATTGTTAGACAAAGGGTTAGGATTTAAAGATAAAAATTAAAATGTTATCTTACGTCAACTTGGTGACTAATTATTAGCATATTGACAATGATCTGACTCCAAGTTCTGTGCCTTGTTGATAGCACGGGTCAATTGTGGGTTTATTATGCGAGGAAGGCCGTAAACGGCGGAATTTACAAATTGCAAGAAAACGATAATTTCGTTTACCGTCTTTAGTTGCACGGGAAAGGTTGCGTTCTGGCAACATTTCATAAACGAATTAATTAAAAAGTTTAGCTGCAGTGAATTTAAAGTTTCGGAACTTTAAGCTAAAAATGTAATAATCTAAAAAATTCTCTTGATTCGAACGCGTAATATTAAATCAAACCGTAAATGTAAAGATTAGACATCGAACATTAATTTGATGCTTGTCATAGTTTACCAAACGCACCCGTATTCATCGCTGCCGTAAATTGTCAACGCCGATTTTTTTATCATACTATGTTGATATTACTATTGCTATATGTCTTAAAGAAGAGCGTGTTTTTTGTTACCTGGAGTGAAAGTCTTGGCGACTATTATTTCTCGCTGCTAGTATTTAGTAACTCATTCGACCAGTATGTAATTCTATTTAATGATATGCTATTGTATATATCACTTCTGTCAGATAATTTAGTATGCCCAAAGTTATTCAATGTGCATATGACTTTTTAGACGTATATCCCGAGTTTTGATCCAACGAAAATAGTCCAAACGTTCTCCATACTTTTAAAACGAGATCTTTAAAGTTATTCATATCTGGTAATAAATTTAAACAAATGTTAGTATTCAATTAACTGATTCAACGGTTTAATTTAACGTTTGGTTTAACATAATTTTAGATAAGAGTAATTTATTGTAAAGAATATCAATCCGGTCATTATTGTGTTATACTGTACATAAATTACAATATCTTCATTATGTAGTCGAGATGGGAAATATACTTGGATCAACGATTCAATAATTTGAGGCGTTTTTGCGCTGAAAATGCTGAAGTGTTTTTTTATCTTTTTCTAATTAAATACAGCATGCTTATTATTATATTATTATAAGCATTTATTTGTCGTTAAGTGATAAAAAGATATATATTACCAAACGCCAATACGGATTGAATTAATAAAATTCTGATAAAATAACATGGATACCCGATGTACGTTGACGCAATCTGTGGTAACGGCTTTGTAGTTTCTATTTTATATATAATTAAGCAACCTCGTTGACAATTAATAATATGTTTTAACAAATCGCGTTATTTATCTCTGCGACACGAAATCCTTGATCATGTCAGTCACAAAATATCGTCTGCCTTTTCATATCAACTATTACTATGGTAATAATTCCATACTTTAGTTTTGAACGTAAGAATAACAAGGCGAGCTTTTTTTGTTATCTTTATCAGTATATTGGTTTTTTCAACATTTGATTTGGCATAAATTTGGTGTATCTATCTTGCGATATAAGAGTTGGGTTATGATAAATTAATCCGACGCCAAAACAAGGTAAATCTTTGTAAAAACGACAACAAATTTTAGTCGGGCATTGGACAAAATTTTAACACACGTGTAATGCATTAGGCATAAGATGTAGATTACACACGCTGAAACACGAATTTCGAAAAACAATTAAACTGTGCCACACCTCACACGTTATGCATATATTCGGACATTTCTTTGACCAAAGTAATTTCGGCCACCGAATTCAACGACGTTCTCGAACTCTCGCATAAAGGCTTTTTAGCGACATAACGCCTGCATCCACAAAACTGTCATCAGAATGAGACGTGATCTGATTATTACGACAAATTTGGCAGGTCAAACGTTAATAATAAAGTCATCATCGCCGTTGTTTCAATGACTGAAATAACAGTGCAAATAAAACACGATTTACGATCGTCTGAATTAATCAGCACTCGAAATACCACGCAAACGACAAATCCAATTGCGTTCTGGATGTTCAAATGACTAGGTGAAAATAATACTATTGTCACCCAAAAGCACTGCGGAAAAAGGTTCAGAGTCAGAAAAGTGAAAAAGATATGGATTTCGATCACTTTAAAGACGGCATTGCATCAGATTCAGAATAGAAACATGTTGTGTTAAATTGCATAGATGGCTCGAACGCACAACGTACGTGTCTGACAACAACTTTATATTTATGCTGTGAAAAAGGTTTTTGATGCAGTCAACTAAATTTACTTTTTTCGAGTTGAATTGTGAACTGCAGTAGTTTACTGGAATTTGAATTTTTACTTGGTTTCTCCAGTTCAAACGTTTAAAAATGTTTATTCCCAAACGATAGTTGTGCCAACGACAAGTCTGATGATTTATTACTGTGGGTTAGGGCTGATATTAAATATTAAATAGGGGCGAGAAACACAGTAGCTGCGGCGTTCAATAGCCTTGAACCCCTGCTTTCTGTGGTGCTATAACCAATTGTTGCAGCATACCCCATAAATGTTTCATTATTTTCATTATGAATTCTATTTATAAACCTTATCGGTCATTATCGTTTTTTAAGAAATGCAAACTTTGGGTCAGCTGATAAACTCGAGATATCTCTGATCTGAAAAAAGTACTAATAAGCAAGCAAAATCTAAGAACAATGTTTTTTGGTAAGCGAAAAAAAAAAACTATGGAAGCGAACGACCATTCCTCCTCATATTAATTCCTTTCATTCTTAGGATCTTTTTACAGGAAACACTTGGGCTTTAGCCATTATATCAAAGATCCGCATAAAACATAGATAACATTGTCTTTTCCCATAGATTCGTATTAGTATTCATATCTTATACACCTATTAACGGAAACCAGTCTTTCGTTCTCTCTTTTTTCTTATTCACTACCTAACCATCTTCACCTCCTACACCAACGCCAAACTCCTCCCTAATTCTCTCATACTATCCGCATGGTCCTAAGATATTTCGGTTCGAGGCTAGTCTCTTTACGAGACGTGGAAGATAAACGCATTCAGGCGCTATTGGAATACGAACCGTATGTATTTCGTCTGAATAGAATGTAGAAACCGGTTGGAGGGGGTAGCAAGTAGAGTTGTGTCCCATTGAATGAAGTGAATATGACAGAAGATTAGATAGTATGCTACAACGAGCAACCGATACACGCATTGGCCTAGTTGAGTATTTCGCAACACATCAAAAAACTTTGATCCGCTCGCAAGCATCAATTAAGTGATACTATTGGTATTAAAAAGAACGCATGCCAACTATCGTACGTAGTTCCATGTAACATATCGGGAAATCAATGACAACAGTTCGGAATTGAACACATCTTTGGAACAGCATTTTAGGCCATAGCGAAATCAACTAACATACAAAGGATAATAAATATTAAAGATATGAAAGCTTACATCTTGACACCCCATACCTTTCCCCCCCACCCCCTTCTAATTCTTCTCCCCACTCCCCCATTCACTTGTCCTGAACCTCAATGATGACCTTTTTATACATAACCTGTAAATCAGTCGGGGGCCAAGTCAAAATCCCAACGTTCGTATCATTTTATGTCAAGACACTGGAGGCAAACCAAAATTAACATTATACGATTCGGCGAACTCTTTAGCTTCGCCCGCTTCCGAATCAGAGAATAAACCTCAGAAAACAGAATCAAGTTGGAATCCTTTTGCCAGCAGAAGTAGAGCATCTGAAGGAAAGAGTAATTCCAGTAGAAATGGAGTGGAAATGAAATCAAATACTAAACCGGCAAACTTGAAAGACCGATCAAAGAGTTTGAACAATAATAACATTAATTCACAAAGAAAGGTTAGTCATTAGTCTTAAATTATACTCCTGATCAGGTCCCACAAATAACCTGTCCCAAAACTTGACAAAAAAAAAAGGCTGACTAGCAGCCGCGAAACAAAATCATAATGTCGCTGTTTTGTATTTGTTATTGTTGTTTTTCCGTCTCTAGCTTTGTAGCATACAACTCACCCATGAATGATTCGTCCATCCCCCTCTA